AAACACTAAATAATTACACTCACACCCGCACAGTAGCAACGCACAGTACTCAAAAACAGTCGGTATGCGTACAAAGTCATTCATATTCTTTTATTTTCCTACAAAAATATTTTACATTAGAAAACACACCTTGAAATATACACAGTCCCCAGCGGCTTTGAAGTAACCACGGGACGTCTCAACTCAAATATATCTGTGTCTATATTTAAATTGTAGGTAAATATATCAGCAAGAATAAATCCAGTTGCTATCCGGTGAGGTTTGCTAATGACGTTTCTGAGATGGAGCTTTGATTGATGAGAAACTAAATCTGACTGAAGCAAGATGGAATCACAATCCGTCTATATTTATAAAAAAAATACAACAAAACTAATGCTGCCTCTGTGGTGGCAGGGAATGCTTCTGATGGATGAGCAGTGGTTCATCAAAGAGCGTGGTAGAACAGGTAAGGGAGTTAAAGCTAGGATAATGGCGTGAAGCGACACTAAGAAACTCCATTTTAACATTCTGTCTTATCCAGAGTCTACATTTGTCCTACGCTGCCCTTTTTGTCTTCGTGTTGCTGTACTCGATGGTATTCCCCCATCTACCTGTGTACAGTATGCTATCCATCTACCTGTCGACATCCCAGCATGCCATTTATTTTCTCTTCCTGACAAACCCCCGTGGGATCATTAACTTGTAAACTATCTCCACTGCATTTCTGGGTACTTTTCACCTGTCAGTCACCCATCCAAATATATTATCATTATCCCCGATGTCATTTCTTACCCTGGTTTTGAGTTTTTGTCCTGTCAAGCTGAGTTAAAGTACTGTGTATTTCTCCCTATAGGGGTTGGGCGTGGTGAGAACTGTAACATTACCTGTAACCGACCTAAACTTAAACATGATTATTTGATTGGTAAAAAATGTTTAAAAGGCCGTAAAGAGCCTGGCAGAAAGTTCTACTGGCCAGTGAGTATTTAAAGAAATGGTTTGACATTTCTTTTTTGGAGTTACATGAGAAAATAAGTGAAATTCTCACATATGTAAGGTATATGGCTACAGCGAGGACCTGGTTAGCTTAGCATAGAGAGTGATCGCAGGAAACAAACACGCTAGCATGGCTTAGCCTTTAGCTTATTTGTTTCTTCACTGATTTAAGCATTATTGCTAAGCTAAGCTAACTGTCTACGAGATAGCTAAATATGAACCAGACAGACGTGAGACAAGAATGGATATTTTCATCTAACTAAATAATAAGAATAATACATTTCCCCAAATTGTCCAACTATTCCTGAAAGGTACATTTTTAAATCTCTCCACTGTCCACCTTTTACCATCTCAGGATACTCTTCAACTGTTTGAAATCCACATCCCAGGTAGCCATTCAATAGTGCTGTAAACTTGCTTTACATGAAAACAGTCATTCTGAACGATCCTATTGGATTAGCTTCCTTGCGATGATGCAACAGCAATTTAAGAATACAATAAAAGTGGTTCTGTGTAACTAAAGTTGTTTAGCACGGTATTAGCATTGTCACTGTCAGTGGATTGATGTCTACTAGATAGGCTATAGTATGATTATATGATAACTGTATGTACTACCCATACCGAAAGGCGCTTTAAATGACCATCAAATAGCATGTGAAATAAATAACAGCGAAAATAATACCAAAACGTACCAATTGATATTTATAAATTCCAGTTTGAATTCAGAATGAGTCCCGACGGGCCCTCCACCAAACCGACTGTTTTTTTGCATCCAGCTCAGGAACCTCGTCCCATGTTTTGGCATCATAGCAGTTCAGAGCGGAGGACCAGCGAGAGCGTCCAGAGGGGGGGCAGCAGCCACAGGGGGGAGGGGGAGGGGTGGGCGCCTAAAGGGGAGGCGGAGTCCGAGGTGCAGGAACACACCTCGAACCCGTTCTCTGCGTGGTCCGGCTGATGCTGCACGTTGAGTCTCGTCTCCGTGTCCGGAGAGTCTGCCTGCATCTCGGTGCACAGCAGCCAGTCTTTGGCGATGGAGCGGGGGTATCCTGCCTCCGCCTCCATGTCGCTGCTCGGCACTCGCCAGTACTCCTTCCCCTTGAAGAAATAGGACGAGCCTTCGGAGAGAAAGGCACAGTGTTGGAATTAGTGTGTGTTTTGGTGTTATCTTGGTTGGTGATTGGCTAATGGTTACACAAGCCAAACAAACGTTATGACATCATAAAGTGGCCAAAATCTGATCAGCTCATTTTCAGAGAGGTTTTTATATAAATGGATCAGGACAAAAAGAGGGAATCTTTTTTCCTGAAACTTTCAGGATCTCTTAACGCAGAGGGGACACATGTTTATGTATATTAAAGACATGAAAAAGTGGAATTTGCATAATAGGGGACCTTTAAAATGCAGAAAACAAATATATTAGCAAGATAATTGAGAAAAACAAATGTATAACAAATACAATGGATGTTCTCTAGCTGCTTCCTATATCCTATTATTGCAACAGAGTAACAGTCTCCTGCTTGCAGCATATTTCCTATTCATCTCTTCAACCTGTGCTTTCTCAAAGACCTCTTTCGGTACATAACACTGTTCTCACTCACTGTTCACAACGAGTTGTCTCCACCACGTCTCTCCTCTTCCCTGTATCTCATTGTTCCCTTTATCCTAGGCTTATGGAAGCAGCTTAACAGCAGGTAAAGGCTTTGATATTTGTCCAGCTCCCTCACAAAGGTGTGTTTATATGTGAAATTGCTCGTTTATATACATGCATTTGTGTGTCTTTTCATATAAATGGGTATTTTATTGGGATTGTCCTCTCTTTCTATGTTGGCCTGTTCTCACACTCACACACATCAAAGAGCCTAGCAGGACCTCTGTGGCTGCTAAAAGCTCACAGACACAACACAGACCTCTAAACACCTGATCGGGAAAAAAAGAGCCTCCACACGTTGAGCTGGGAGTCGCTACAGGGGAAAGGCGGTGTGGCCTGTCTGAGTAGTCTGAAATAAGGCCCGAGTACCTCCTGCTAATTAGATGTTTTTGTGCCAATTCTAAAGACCTACAAGTGTTTTATCTAAGCCTACTCTGTACAGCCAACTGGTGGAAACACTTCTTGGAGGGGATTTGCTTTCCAAAACTCTGTTGAAGTAAACACTATTATCTCCCAGGGGAAAACAATATGTCCTCAGCATCTGACCTATTGTAATTGCTTTGGAACAGCAGGTAACCTTTCTCGATGCAGCAGTAGGGGACGGACTCCAGATCTAACATCCTTGTCTAGTCAAAGGAAATGCCACGGACGAGTCAACATGTTCACTTTACTGTCAAGTCATAAAATTGAATTAATACCCGCTAATTATAGAGTTATATCACAACATGTTTTTTTTTACCATTTTCGGTCTCAGGTCAAGTCATTTTGCCCATATCAAGCCTAATAACCTCTGTAACTTTAATCCATTATAGAAGGGGAAACAAATGAAGTTGCATGTGTTGCATTTAGATGCCAAGGACCTCAGTTATAATATGTGGATTGACAGCTAGTTCATGTAAAAGTCTTAATGTAGAGTATGTCTTTTCTGTTGCTCTTAATCAAAAAAACAACAAAAGACAGACTTTAATCACTTCATAACGTCACTTGTGATAATGGGAGATGTTGTCTTTACTGTTAATATTTGTTTCTTTCCTAACAACTTATCCTCCCACTATTTATGTATGCACCACATACACCGAACCAAATTCCTTGTGTGAACCTACTGGGTAATAAAGCTGACTCTGGTTTACAGAACATGTGTAATTTATCCACACATGATGAAGCTAAATTGATTTTCTTTTTACATTATTATCAAAGCAATTACAAATTGGTGTGAAAATAGCCTTGTGTGCATTACACATTTAATTCATTGACAGTATAAAAGCTGCCTTTTCATATTTCGTGACTCATTAAGTCTAATATTATTACCCTCCACAGGCTATACCGTGATTAAATCAGGCTTTCTCCCAGTGAGTCTAAATATCAGAGTTTTATTGATTTGATTGTTGTTAAAGTTTAAATGAGAGAGAAACCCTCAAATAAAACCTTTAAAAATATGTTTTAAAAGAAAAGTGAAAGAGAAATGGTACAGTTTAGTTTATTTTCTATGTATTTATTGCAATTCATGTTTCAGCACTTAATAATCACTCCCCATAATGGGTAATGTCATGCTAATGCCACACAGAATTACACAGGGTTATCTGTTAGCTCCGCACATTTTCACTCGCACGTTTACGCTTAGGCTTTATAGAAACCATTATAGGCATTTTATAGGAGGTAAAGGACAGGCATGCTTTACAGGCACAGATGCACATAGCGCGTAAAGATTACTGAGATGGCAGATTAATGCGTGACATGCTCCAATAATGATCACATTACCCCACCTCTTCCTATAAAGCTAGCCAGAGAACGAGGAGTGAAAAGAGAGAGGGGGGAACACATGGATCAACACACACACACTAATTGAATGATATAAACTAAATATGCGTATGAGCTAATGCATTTAATTGGTGTTTCAGTTGTTAAATGGTTGAGTGTGAATATCACCGTGGTCTTTCTGTTAGGTTGTGAATACCTTTTATATTGACCTTATAACAATATATTTGTATGGAGGTAATTACAAAAGACATAACTTCAATGTACAAATTGACCTTTAAGAAAATGCTATGCGTGTTTCTGGTACTCGATTGAACTCCTTCCTCCTAACCACTTCAGCTTGTTACTTAGAAACATTGAACAAATGCAGGTGCGTCACAGCTGAGATCTGATATTTATATCCTGCTGATTTACTCCTCCTACGTCAGTAACTAGGCTGCAAATGTAGTGCTTTCAGTAGGTCATATAGTGGCTTGACCCAAATAACATTCATATTCTTCACGCTTTGTTAATAAGTGTTGATACGTGATAAGTGTTGATAATTAATATTGGGATAGAGGAAAGTCTACAATTTTTTTTTCGCAAACTTCAAACCCACCTGTTTCGACTACACCTTGAACAATAAATACATAATAAATTCAATGAGATAAAAGACTCACTTCTTAGGTATTATTTAAAATGCTTTGGCTAATCAAATCTAATATATCTGCAGGATTCTTGCTTTTTTTGTAGGTCACTTAGCTAAATGAAAGGTAATGTAATGTAATAATTGCCCGATTAATATTTAAAAGGTCATCAGTTTTTACTTTTTCAAGGTACATTTACTCGCTGTATCAGTAATAGACCATATGTGATAAAGGACATGAGCCAATTTGCAACACTCATGTCTCCCGTATGTTACGGTCAGAATTTAACAATCATGTGTGATCTGCTTTATAATATATGAACAGAACGCAGTGTCTGTGCTGCCAGAGTGAGACATTTCTCATGCGTGAGCAGCACTCAGCGACAACAGATTAGTAGGGCACTCTCAGAAAGATAGTAGTGTTGGTTGGTCGTAGTCACTGAGAGCCACAATCGGCCGCAAAACAGCATGCGTGTGAGGAGGACGGTACTCACATTTAAGTTTAACAAACAGTTCAGGCTTTAAGTAGAGATAAGCACAGACCACTTGTGAGCCTGATAACACACCTGTTATTCCCAGCTACGCTAAGAAGGAGTAAATGCCAACGCTGATCGCAGCACAGAGAGGATGAGAAAAGTTTGCAACTGAACTACTAAAAGAGGGATTTAAAGTACTGCCATATGGTTGCACTATAATAGTTCCTGCATCATTTTTATTTATCATTTTTTCCCCCACTTAAAACAAATGATCATTTCAATTGAAGGATTATGTTTGGCTCTGGGAAATGCTTCTTTCTATTTGTTATGTAGGCCAACCAAACACAGACACTAACACACACCCATACACAACACAAATCTACTAAATACAGCTTGTTTGCAAAGTCATGTACTGAGTCTAGTATTTTCAGCATAATTAGGTTTTTCTCAACATTTTTTTTTTTGGAGGTTAAAAGCAGAACTGGAAGCTTCACTAATATATAATACATATATACAGTATTTTGTTAGTGTTAGCAAAGTTATATATTTCCATAAAACAGGGGAACTACCAGAGAGTGGTGATACTGTGGGTTTTGTGACACCTTTCGCATTACAAATAATAATTTGTAAAATGTACAAGACAGTGTACAAACCAAAATGCTTTTTATGAATCATTTCCCATTTAGTGTTACAACAGCATAATGGTAAAACAGATTCATTCTAACAATTTAAATGATGTACATACTAATAGTGTCTGTGTCCTCACACATTGAGGCCACCCTAGTTCCTGTAAACCTTCCTTCACTTGAACCCGAACCTCACTTTCCAGCTCAGCACCGCCCTCTTGTGCGACATTCTCTTAATTACAGCAACTAAGACGTAATGCAATGGACATTGTTAAAACTTCTATGAAAATACATGAACATTAATGTATTTTAAATAGTGAACCTTTTCTTAACAGATACTTTTGTTACGCACTTACATTTGAAATAGTCGGATGTGTAAAAATACATATACATGTACATATAAATACATTTCTGCATGAATAAATGATAGATTGCGCTAAATTCAGTGAACAAGTAAAAATGATACTAGTTTGAATAGTTCAAATTAGGGATTGCATACTGTATGTGCATGGTTGATAGGAGGGCTGATAGGGATTGGTGCAGGGAAATAGTGTAAGTAAACTGATGCAGATAGTGAGGACGGATGCACTGAAAATGTACACAATCTGTGAAATGCAAGGCTGCTCAATATGGGCGTTATCTTTCATTGGCTTCATTCTTACTGTGATTCCATGCTGGTCTTTTAGATAAGACTACTGCAAGCTGACTGCTCTATTGACAAACTTTGGTTGTAGACGATGATTGCCTTTAGGTTCATTCAGGTGAAACCTTCTCTGTTAGACTTCCTGCTAGGATTAGACCAGAATCTTGTAATCCAAGTGTAATGCTTTTGACAGACTCCACTGACCTCATTGTTGCAGCATGGTCTAATAAGGAGAGACTGGCTTGTGGATTCATAACAGCCATCGTGTTTGCGGTGTAAAGGGCAAGGCTGTTGTTGGCAAGCCGAAATGCCCGTTCTACACCCTCCTTCTGGTAGACTCAGGGTTTGTAATCTAAAAAGTTTGTTGTCTGGAAACTTGTTCCCTAAAGGCCAAAGTAGAACCTTACATTTTCCATAACCACAGCTCAATTGTTATGGGTCATCGGTTATTAGTTATTGTGTACACATCATATTTGCCAAGAGCCTTAGAGAGTTTTAGTTTGGATGTGTGTTTATTTGCATGTCAAAATACTTCCCTAATGAGTTTCTTTCTTAAATGATCATAACACGTTAGCTGTGGGTTTAATAAGGTCATGAATATAAATATTTAAGCTCAGAAAATGTAAGAATTCTTTCTTTGTAGCCATTAAAAGTGGAGGTGCCAGCTATGGCAGAGGGCCCAAATGATGTCCATGTTGTACACCAACAGTTTTAATAAGCACATTAAAAAAAAATTGCCTCCAATATAAAGTTAAAATTGAGAGAGGGACGGTAGGCAAGGCAAGGCAAGACAAGTTTATTTATATAGCACTTTTCAACACAAGGCAATTCAAAGTGCTTTACAAAAAATGAAAGAGATTAAGAAAATGGCATTTAAAATCAGTCATTAAAAAGAAAAGCTAATAAAATAAATATAAACGGTACCGTTCCATACCTTTTCAAAGTTCCCTTTAGAGCTATATAAGACTTTATAGACCTGTGTTCCCATTTAGAGTCATTTTCCACTGACGAGGAAAATGCCTGTTTGTGGTTGTGTTTAAAACTAATAAAACAATTTAGGTAGAGAGTATGAACATCTGAACTGTGTGGCATTCAATGCCATTTTTACTAAAGATTATTTTAGCTACTCACCATCAGACCACCTTATGGCGTCGTCCAGTTGTGGCGGCAGCCCCTTCCAGAGCGAGCTGTCTTTAGGGTATCCCAGGTCCATTCGTCTCAGGTGGTCATCGTAGCGCCAGTATAGGTTGTCCTTGAAGAAGTAGGTTTTCTCGTTGTGTAGCCAAACAAAGGCTGCATCTATTACTTCCAAGGGTAGGCCAAAGTCACTGATTGAACGAGGGTAGCCCTCCTCTACGTTATTATCCTTAAATACCCAGTACTTTAGACCTGAAGAGGGTGGACACAGGTCAACATGTAAAGGAGAAATACTATCTTTATAATTTGGAATGTATTTACAAAGTTGTATAGCCTAGTCAGTCAACTAAAACCACGGACAAATAGAAGAAGTTGATACCAGATAGAGATATTTACCTTTGAAAAAAACAATTTTATGGTCCCCAGGCCTCTCATACACAGCATCCACACTGTCCAAATTTTGGGGGAGGCCCTTCCAGAAGCGATGGATCTGAGCGGGGCGCAGGGACACCAGGTGCTTCTCTCTTGTTAGTCGCCAGAAGTACTTTCCTATAACAGATGGGAACAGGTTAGAGCTTGGTTCTTCTTCACAATATCCAGTGGGAGTCTATTACCAGAAAAGCTGTGTTAAGTTAGGACACAGTGTGCTGTCTCTGCAGTATCTTACACATTCCTTTACCTCCTTCACATCCATAGGGCAAAAGAAGAACTGAATCTTCAATAATTACTCTTACATTCTCTTTAGAGTTGTATCTCTGTTTATTGAGCATCTTTGATTTAACTTTGAAAATAGTATTGGTAAAGAATGCATTTGGTTTAACTAATTAAAGGAACAGGAACCTTAGCCAAAATATATTCTGAAGCGTTACGTTTTAGGAGATCATTTACAATATAATAATGTGTTCTGGCTAATAAAAGCTCTCTTACCACTCCTGCCAATCAGCTAAATGGATCAATATTCAGCTCTGCAGATAACAAGTATGCACCAAACAAAAGCTTGAGCCCTTAAGGGCCTGCAGAATATACGACAGTACAGCTTTTTCCCCTTTAGACCCTTTCAGTTTATTCTTAAAAACCCTTACCCTTACCCACCCCCCCATTTTCCCTCTGCTGGTCTATGGCCTTGTAGAGGGTAACGGGGTACAGATTCGCTTAGATAAGTGCATCTGACGAAGAGATAGGTTGTTGTGCTCCCTATCTCTGTTTCTTATACTATATCTAATAGAACTGCTCGGGTCTTGATAGATTGAGTGGGGAAGTTCATGAGATCTTTTTAGAGTCTTATCAAGAATAACTTTTATCCAATGACCTTTTCCCTCTCTGTCTGTGTCTGTGTATTCTCTTGTTCCGATTAACCCAGCCAAATCTTTTTTCTTGTTTTGTATCTATATCTACGCCGGGATCCGGAGTCGAGGCTGATCCTCTTGCTGTAGTCCTGTGTCTTGGATCCTCTATCCTGAGTTCTGGATTAAGTCGTGGACTTCGGGTCGTGGCTGAACCTGTCTCTGCGGTCCTGCCTTGGGTCTCGTCATGCTGCTTCTCTGATGGCTTCCACAGGATTGTAGCTGACATCCTCGTGGATTCATCTTCTTATTACAGACACATGCATTTCCTAACATTCGGTCTATATGCTGTAAAATGTATTATCTCTTCGATTTACACACGGCATCTATTGCACGTCTGTCCGTCCTGGGAGAGGGATCCCTCCTCTGTTGCTCTTCCTGAGGTTTCTCCCATTTTTCCCCTTTAAACTGTGGGTTTTTCTCTGGAAGTTTTTCCTTGTACGATGTGAGGGTCTAAGGATAGAGGGTGTCGTTTTTCTCATACTGATATTCTGAACAATCTGTGCTGTTGTATTTTCTGTAAAGTGTCTCTACTGTAGGCTATTTTTATTATATGTACAGCACTTTGACTCGACCAAAAATCGTTTATAAATGTGCTATATAAATAAAACTTGATTTGATTTGATTTGATTGGGGCCCTGGGAGCCACACATGACTGTGCTCTCTATCGATCGCTGGAGCCGCTTCTCTGTCCAGCCCCCGTCCCTTACTCTACCACTTTGTCTCCTCCACATTCACCTCATTTTCTCTCTTCCCTCTCTACAGTATATCACTTTCTATTCATCTGTCTGTCCATTAGTGTCCCTTGTCTGCTCTTTCCTTTTCAGCCTGAATACCTTTAAAAAAGAAGGCCTCCCCTCGAATTTGGGCCACCGCATCGAAGTGGCTGGTACATCTGTCTGGGGCATCTTGTGTCAGCCTGGGAGAGGAAAGTAATACAACAAAAACAAGGACATTACATTAAATATCATCAATCTAAACTTTGAGTGTTTGAGGCTATATACCTGATTTAACCGTTAAATGGGCAATCACAAGTAAATATTTTAGAAAATTAATTGATTGCTATTGTCAATATTACACCCATATCACAGATTATTACAACCCTATATCCCCATATTACACATTATCTTATCTCACCCTTATTAAACCCTTACTATACCCATGTTACGCTATTATTACACCCACAATTACTACACCAATTTTACACGTTATCACACCCACATTTCACATCAACAAAGCCCATTACACCCATGTTACACCCATGTTACAACCATATTACACATGGACACAGCCTGTCAAATGACTATCACCCAGGCCAAGAAACCTTTTAAGGGCTAAATGTTCACTTATTTTAAGGTATGCAGTTTGTTTGCATACATAAAAAAATATGGTAATTGCAAAGCCGAGAGAGTTTGAATGTATGCATGCATGTCCATGTGTTTCCTTCAATTAATCAGTCTGAAAATTAGGGTGAAATGCCATCGCGCTGACACGCTGAGGTCCCACAGTGCATTTATCCTCTGGGCTAATAAGTGATTTAAAGCACCGACGTGGTTGGCCTCCCGATGATGAAGCCATTAGCACCACAGGGCTGCCACTGTGAGTGGGAGTCAGCTAGACTCTGCATTATTAACAAAGATCTCCATTCAGAGCTCTATCAACACCACATCGCTGCCTAGTGGTCAACATTTGTGACCCATGTCAAGGATAATCCAGCTATAATGCACATTATGACAATATGGAGGAGGTAAAACATTAGTATTGAGGGCAGTGGAAGGCTGGCACCATTAAAGGAAAAGAGGGTTTTATATTTGTATTTTTAGAACTGCTGTCTTTAAATGAGTGTTTATGGAGGATAGCAAACATTTGTTGTTGTTGTTGGTGTAGTTTGATTGCTCCCTAAGCAGCAATCTCCTCCCTTAACTCACTTTGTTTAAGCTTTATAATAATTAACATGTCCAAATATATAAAGTTAGTACAGTGCCAAGGTAACTCAAAATCATTTTGATTTGTTATTTAGTGCATAACCGTTTTAGAAATGTGCTAGATATTATTGTTTTGACAGTGAAGTTGATTTATTCAGTAAGTCCCAGCTATAATAACAAAGATAATACTTTTAATACATTTCCTATAGGAGAGAGGAGATAGTGTAGTATGATGGCCTGGCACCTGAATGTGGAAAATGATTTAAAATTACAAACAAGAGACTCTTAGCTGAATCCAGGTCATCTCTCTAAATGTGCTTATGGTTCATGTTCTGTGTAGTCTGACAGGCTCCACTGCTGGGAATGTGTGTCAGTCCAAGCCTTTACAGAGGTACACAGTGAGATATCTTGTACACTGTAAAGACTGTAAACATCTGAAACAATTGTAATTACATTTTGTATAGATACTTATGGTCTAAAGCTGTTGAATTCAAAAAGACCCCATCACCTTTCCTATAGTGAACACACCTGAAGTTGTCAACTGGACCGTCGATTGCTCCAACAGTCAATGTTGACAATAACATTTTTGTATCTACTGTTGGGTGATGGATGTTTGACAACAAGGAGGGGTGGAGTTCTTTGTGTATCGCTAAAAAGAAACCAGATGTTCTACTTACAGGAGAGTGGACCTGTTTTCAGGGAGGTCCAGCAGGACAGGGGGTTCAGCCGTCTGGGAGGGGTTGCCTGGTCGGTTTGTGTGGGACACCAAGTCTCTGACCCCTAGGGAGGATAGGTGATTAAAGACTATGTTAAAAACAAGGCAATTTATTTAAATGTAGCTTTGCAAACTTGTGGGGGTATTTTGGAAAATTCTGCATTATCACAGACACTGTAAAAAGGTTAAAGTTCTAATAGGGAAAAAAAGGATAGCATTCAGGCCAAACAAACTGTAGTAGCTAATGTGGTAGCCAAGCCCTAAAGCATATACTGTTTATAGTCTATCTACCCTAAATGGGACCGTCATTTACATAATGAACATCAAGCTGTATGGAAGATGACTTGAAACAAACAAAACTTGCCAGGATAATATTTGCTTAGCCTTAGGGCATCAAGTGAGAAGTAGGGTAATTTGTAAGTGCCCCCTGCTGGCTATTACAGAGAATGCAAGTTTAAAGCACTTAACCCTTGGCTTTTCTTTTCAGACTGTATTAAATTCCTGCTCTGGGCTTTGTCTTAGTGTCTGTTCTGTGGTTTCATTTAATTTATCTCTGTCTTTCACAGTCCTGGCCTTCAGCGTTGCTTGGTGCACTTCATTCTCGTCTTCATGGTCATTAGTCTCTCTCCCGCACACACTGCTGCTCTCTATATCAGTCAATGATGTGATAAGGTCATATGCCACAAACAAAAGGTCCAATTAACTCAATCTGTGTTTTCATTCATCTATAACCTTGCTCCACAGAGCAATTGCTCTTCCTCTCTCTGTCACACACACACAGAACAGCATTTGGATGTTCCCTCGTACCGTAGAGCTGCCAGACGCGGACCTTGTCTTCATACGGTAGGTCGTATTTCAGAGGGTCTCCTACAGGACCCTGGTAGTACGGTCTCATGATGGACTCTATGGCTGAGGTGTGGACCAGGCCGATGGCGTGACCAAACTCATGGACTGCAACCGCAAACAGATCCATCCCATGAGTGTCTGACGGAGAGGGAGAGAAACATGAGGGACACAGAAATCATTGTCAGGTTTGTTTTAGTACAACTTACATCAATATGTGTCATTCTTTACCTGCTCGAAATGCATCATCAATGGCACCATTTTAACCCCAATGTATAACAGTTCTCTTTTAGAAGCGATTGTCTGCATTTAATGATGTGTTTCTGGTATATTTATTTTGTAATTGTTTGTTTGTTTGGGTGCAGTGTTTGCCTGTGCAGCTATATGTAAATGTAAATGCTATGGCAAGTGGCTTTAGTACGTTTGTGCCAAAAATATTCATAAATATACATTCAATACATATTTGTGCAAGTATATCAATGCATATGAACAGGTAGGATACACACTTTCCAAAGTTTGAATCCCCCCCTCTTCACCTTTTGGAGTTATTTAGGTGAGCGGTCAATTTAATCAAAGACGCAGCTACAGAATGCAGCACACAGCATATGTATTCTTCCCTACAGTCGTTGCTGTCCAGTGTAGTAATACATTAGTTGCATACTCAAAGATTAGACACAGCTCTCCTCGTCAGTGAGAGGTGACAACATACAGAGAGGTAGGAGATACACGTATTGTTACAGCAGGCTTGATGAGACAATGATAATAAAGATTGTAACAAACACCAGTAAGTATTAGTCACCGTTAATAAATCAATAATCACTTTTGAATGAAAAGGTTGCATCTCAGCTTAGAGAGATCATTTTGCTGCTTAAAGTTTGTGACTTTTGTAGAATTAATACAGCCCCTGCTTGTGCGTTTATCCCTTTCATGAGAGAAGTCCATAGGTTGCAAGTTAAGAGGCGTGACGGACAGCTCTAGTGGCTGCGAGTGCTGTTAGGCATGTGGTGCAGTGAGATAACTATGTCTGTCTGAGCCTCTGGGCTGCCAATCAAAACCTGAGTGCGGAAAGACACCTAAAGAGGCTGCAGGCTATTAAAGCACATTTCCCTCGATGTGCAACTAAAAAAGAAAAAGGGAAAGCCTCCCGAAAACTACTTGTCCGGCTCTACTACGCTCTAGACAAAACCTGGGTTTCAGAGATTCACATTTGCTAAATACGTGAGAGCTAGCGTGTCGAGCCAAGCTAGCTTAGGGTTCCTTGGTGGCTCGGCTGAAGTCTGCGTTCAGTTAACCTTGTGTTGGCCTCGACTTGGGAACATCTGAGTGCTGTGCTCTGTCGGAAGACAAAAGGACAATTGGAGACGTGCACTTGTGCTTACAACACCTGGGAAATTCGAAAACCAAATGCCAACTCTAATCTACGGGAGCACATGGCGCGGAGAGGGAAGGTGGATCAAAGGACGGATTGAAGGGGGTTGAGAGCAGGGATTCAGAACAAAGTAGGTACCATGTCATCGTATTTACAGTCCATCTGAGGTTGACGGGAACGAACATCGTAATGCCAACGGACAAAGTCAGAGCGGAGAGATTTGGGGGGATGAACGGGACTCATGGAGTGAGACCTTTGTGGCAGAGACACAGAGAGAAGGAACACGAGGGAGAGAGAGAGCTTCAGAGTGAGCAGACAGGAGCAACATCAGAAATGCAACTAAAGGAATCATTCGCAGGGTATCCTGCAGTAAGATATTGCATAACTTTGATGCACAGTAATAATTCTGGGGTATCTCTAACTTGAATATAACTGTATCCAGAATGTTACAAACATAGCCTGCAGCACTTGGATTGAGAAGGAAAGAGGCAGACACAACACCAGCCCAGGGCTTACCTTTTGATTTAATGTGAATCCTTTAGTAGTGACCTTGCATTACCACTCAAAAATCAATTCAGATATATATTCCTTTTAACAAACTCTTAAAGGTCCCATGTCATGCTTTTCCGGTTATTACCCGTCCCCTTGTGTGTTATGAAGGTTTTTCTGCATGTAAACGGTCTGCAGAGTCAAAAACCCTCAAAGTACACCCTGTAGCGAGACTATAGCACAGAAAATACCTCCCCAAAACGTCTCGTTAGAGATTTCTCATTTTCCAATGTTTTCTTCCTGGGTATCACTACGTAGGGATACCCAGAGGCAACACCCTCTGCCAGCCTTTCATGAAACAAAACTTCCCAAACCTTTCAGCAATTCATGCCGGATATGTACAGCGTGCCCTACGCTGACGAACGATGCTGTTCCTACTTTGTTTGGACCAGCGGGAGATTCGGGTACACAACCTGTAAGTATTCATTGTTGTTTGTGTATTTATGATGTTTAAAGCAAACAAGGTATCTACCACGATTGTTTAAATGGGTAAACGTTTTTCGGACTACTACATTGGGATCGCGGAGAAATGCTCTCCGCAGACCCATGCTCACAGCGTTATAAACCTTTTTCTTACTCAATATCAAGCCACACTTATTGTTTTTACTTCGGCTGTGAGTGTTTGTGTGTGTGTGTGTGCTCAGGATGAGTTTAGCTTGTTCTCTTGTTTCGCCGACACGGAAGCCTGATGCGAGCAGCAACGAGCCTCGCAAACGTCCCGATCAATCAGAGCACACTGGGCTCACAAGGAGGGGGGGGGCAGGAGCTCCAACAAGCCGTTTAGGACAGAGAGTGAATACCTGGTGAATACACATACTTTACAGAAATGCTGTATGAGAAACCAATGTGAGTTTGGAAAATTTCACAATATAAATCTGTTTTAGTAGACCTCAACAATGGAATTATGATCAGTAGAAATGGCCATGACATGGGACCTTTAAAGAAAAATAACGCGTTTAAAGTGATGGGACGAAACACATTCATTTTCATGTAGGATGGTGATTCAGCAGTTCCCCCACCAGGATGAGAGAGGGCTTTAACTGACCGTCAACATCTGAGCATTCATTAAACCTGAGACACCCATTGATTCTGAGGGTTTAACATAGTGCAAATGGCCAAGTATATCATTAAGGGGTCTCAATTGTAATGGAAGAGTTCTTCAAGTAGAAGATTTGCTGGTGCGGTCGATCTTTTTTTCTGAGACTGAACGTATTACACAGGCTCCCTCAATTCTGGTAATATCTGCAGCTGCAGTTGACCCACTTATTTCCTTCCTGTATTGGTTACCCTCAAAGAGAGGGCCCCATTACCCATACAGTATATACTACTAGATTATTGAAAAGTACAGTGCAGGCTTGATTTATATTCCATGCTCAAGCACAGCGCTTACTCGATAAATCTCAATTTGGACGCAGATCCTGATATTTCTGAGAGGGAATGAAGCTGAATCCTTGGAAATATAAGAAATAGGGTGTTGAGAAAAGGGAAAAAATGGGCCTACGTGTTTTTAAATATTTATCACATTTTATTGAACTCCATCTACAGTAGGTTACGAGAAGTGAAATTAAAATTGTCAGATTGTTGAACTTGTATTTATTTGTTGTCGAACATTTCACTTGGAAGTCTGAGAATGTTCTACTCGGAAAATCAACTTTGGAAAGAAAACATAATGGTTTTCCAAATAAAATCTTTAATTTATTTTCTCATCTGCTAGTATACAGATAGATAATATTCCCAAAGGTAATATATTGGTCAAACTCTAAATATAACCTTTCCTTTGCAGATTGTTTGTTGTGTTTCAGACATTATTCACCGTATTATTTTGGCCGGCCCGAGGAAAATGTTATACAAAGAGCTATTACATTATGTATAATAGATAGATAATAGAATAAAGTCAGAATGACTCCTTTCGTGAATATTCAGCGTGTTAAATAAGGCAAGTTGGCAGCTCTAGAAACAAAATCCTTTAAGCTACTGAACAGACTGAATGGCTGCTATAAAAAGAGGAGATGTGGGACGCTCACATCAATGGTTCATATTTAATAATATATGTTCAGTAACAATGATCCACAATAAAATATGAAGGCACATCAAGCTCGAACCCATTCATTGGTAAATTCTGAGGAAGAAGAAAGGATGTGACATCTTTCTATAACTGACCAGCAGACTCTGGAAACATAAGGTACAGTATGGTCTTACTGAGAGAAAAGCTCAAGCCAACAGATAGAATGATGACAAAATATATTTAAATAATTGTATAGTAGGAAGTATTACTCAACTGTTTGGTTAAGTATTATAAGAGTAACCAGAAAACTGCCCCAGTGTCAAATTAAAATTGTAACAAGTTGAATCATCTCTTTAAAGCTGCTCAATATTTTAAAATGAAAGGCTTTCTGAAGATCAATCAAAAATTATGTTTTGATCATTCATTGTTCATTTTGGCCATATTCACTATCATTATTTAATGATATTTTATAAAATATTATTAAAAAAAAGCATCCCATGTCATTTCATAAACAGAACATTTCAAAACAGAAGCTAACTATATTGAAAAGAAAAGTATTATTGCTAATAATGCATTCCAAGTGAAATTCATTCAAAAGGAAGAAAATATTTGACATAGAAACAAGCAACTACCTTGGCTAAAACGTCAGTCCGGAATTTGTCGTTTTAGTAGACTTTCTTGGAGTATGAAAATGATACATTTCCCAAGGGCAGGGCTTTCAAAGAGGGAATATCATGTTTTTTTTGGTGTAAAATATGATGTCTTGAAGGCAAGAACAGCAAACAAGGTAGCATCTCTTCACTCTCGCTCCTACAGAAGGTTGTGTTTCAAACCAAGTGACTATCTTTCGTACCAGGACCGGAAGCCTAATTATTTCCCAAGAACTGATTGATTTTGGAAAGAGAGATAGATTGGGGTCAAGACGAGTTCCCACCTCTGACCCCTCCCTGCGTCCCTGCCCTGCTGCCATTAACCAAACCCCAGATGATTCTGTAAACTGTGACAGCATCATGCCAGCGTCCCCTGCCGCTGCTGAGGCCCGCTGTGAGCTCTAATTGGAGCAGATTGAGCCTCTGGAACATATGGTTCACAGCTTAACCAGGGCTAAACCAAAATAATGGAGATGAACACAGGTCCTGGCTGCATCAGAGACTCGCCAGCTGGTGTAGTCAGTGTCATCTTCACCCCCGTGACAAGCTATAAGCTCCACATCTGAGGAGCAGGACAGCACAGTGAGCCCTGTGACCCCCGAGGAGCTTAAATCTCAGCCTGAGGTTTTAGACACAATCATGAGGAGAATATCATGAAGAATGATCCGTCTAAAATAGGCTGGTACTGCACATATATGCATAGTTTTTCTTGGAATCTGATTAAATAAGTGCATTATCTGCATGGGTTATTATCAGTTGGCTAATTTAGCTTAGTTTAAAAAAGGGGAAACAGCAAAGACAGTGTGTCCACAACCCTGCACATCTCAGCACCGTGCTATTGTCTCCAAATCACTGCTTTATAGAGGAGAGTTAGTTGACAAAGTGTAGTGCTATTTCAAGGTCAATAGGAACACATTCCTTTCAACTTTTTATAGCCATATATCAAAAGTTATCATGTTGTTGTACAGTGGTTTTGTTTAATTATTTCCACTACAATATCTATAAGAAGTTCAAAGTAGTTGTGGACACCCCATGGGATAATTAAATAATCAGTTGCGATCAATATCAGTAAATAGTATACTTAAATCTTTGATACATTTTTTTTAATTGCTCAAAAAAACAATGAATGGGTATCAGAGGCGCATTAGAGTTGATGCTTATTTATAGTTGTTGGAAATGAAAGGACGTCTTTTATGCTTCCTAATAAGCTTGTGATTAGAACCACCACTGCTTAAGCCAATACTCTGTGTCCTGTATCTGAAGCCACGGTATGCTCTATATTCATAGTTCTGACAAATGAAATATTAATTAGAGAATCTGGAGCATGAACAAAGGGTAGAAGCACAGCTTGGCTGCAAAATGCAGTCAGCGTTCTGGTTTTGGATGTGGAAGTTTTGATGAGCATGGAGATGGGAAGTTCAAAAGATTCTGAAATCAGGCTTTCCTCGACACCGACTGTTTCCTTTCATTGCATAGTACTATGGGACTTTCTAAGAAATGCCTTAGTGAGACATTTCCTGGAATACTTGTCCATATTGATTCTTCCTTATCATCCTTGCACCCTCCTTTTGATTCTAATTAATGTAATACGTTTAAGTTCCTCACCTGGAGATCTGAAGGTCCAGGCCTCGTCATCGTCAAAGTGTGTATCTCCAGCTGTGAACCTCTCCCCGGGGAAAAACGCGTGTGCCACGGTGCCCCCTGGCCCGTCAAAGGGGTATCCATCGTTGTGGTCGGCCTTAGTGAAGTCGATTTGAATGTCCGCATCACTGCCGGCCACCTCGTGGAAGTTTAGCGGCGCGATGTCACTCCAGACCTTCAGGGCGTAATACATCAGGGCTCGAACCGTGTCCCTGCCCAGCAAGGCAGAGTCCTTAGGGAAGGTCCTCACTCTGAGAGAAGAAGGGGACACAGGGAATATGTTAAAGAAGGACTCAAAACATAGGGATTATTAGGAGCCGTTTTTCAGATCTCAGGTGTGTTGGGTTTATTTCCCCAGAAAGCCTTGTAGCAGTTCTCGTCTTTTTAATAGACAACATCTCACACCAGACCGGAATCACCCAACCCTTTTAGAAGTCTCTTTCAGAAATATTAAGGGATGTGAGAGTACCAGAAATGTTGTTCTCGTTTCTTGATACCAATTTAATTCCACGGTAAAATAAAAAACACACAAATGAATCCTATGTAATGCAATCCCCTGTTACTGCATTCTTAATACTTGTTCATACTTAAGACAGGTCATAATGGCCAGGTCACATCATGCCATTGGTCTCGAGCCCTCACAGTCCATTTGATAAGTACTCTCAAGCTTTCAGATATTTGGTATCAACTTTGTACCTTTTTAAGTGCTGGTTAATGTGCTATCCTTAGTTACATTGTCCAATCTTAACTGGAAAAACTAAAATATGATAAAGGACTAATAACATCCTGAATCCTGATACTCAATCGTTACTGCAATTGTCTCCAAAACAACAACAAAAAACGATTATTTTGGAAAAGTGTTAACACAAAAGACACATTTTCTGACTTTAAGTGCAGCTATGATAAAGTTGCCTAAAACACAACACTCTGGCTCATCTAAGCAGCTTTTACTTAGAATAAATTGTTCTTTCTAACTTTCTCTTTTGTTTGTTAAGAAAAAGGTCAAATCAAATATATTAAAACAATAAACTGTACAGCCAGTTTAATGTCATAAATGTCTTATAGAAAACACACCAGTAGAACACATATCAAATCCTCATCTGCACCAGAGCCCAGGCAGGAACTGAACCCCTGTGGCCTTTCCATTGCTTTAACACAAACATTCATTTATTGCTGTAGAAATGAGACTCGTACCCAGTCGCGGACAGCTGCTTTAACACAGCTCTGATGTGATAACTTATTTATTCCTTGGTGCTAAATAACTGCGGCTGCTGCTGCAGATCATTACAGATTTACATCGTTATGCTGATGACACCACAGGATTGAACCAGCAATAAAACACTATTAGACCTCAACCTTCTCAGTAGTTTAACAGGCTGCTTTTAATGTACAAAGCAAGGTGTTGCATGTCCAAAACAAAATGGGTAATTCCTATCAACAAGATAAAATGAACAGCTGCCAACCGGACCGAACAACTTCAGCAAACAAGCCCTATTTAGTGAACAGAGTCTGCCAAAATTCCTCTTTATGTTCCAGGTCAGCAGTTACCTGCACCCTGAACTCCACCTGACAATATGTTTGATGTTACTTTAAGCTCTACTGACATGATACATTTGCATTGAGACCTATTCAGAGGTTTGTCCACCCATCGTTTTTGATAGAAAAGGATTTCAACGTGTAGAGTATGATATAACCTTTGCCACCTGCTCCATTTCAAACCTTTCATCCCCAGATGAGCCGGAGCAGCAGCTGGTCCAACAACTCTGCTTGTAGCTGAGGATAACCGGACCTTTACTGTCAAAGTCAAACCTCTGAACACCTGCCAGAAGAGCTCAGCGAGATCTCTATAATCTTTTTTATCTCTTCTCAAAGCAAGTAAGCTAATTCTGACTTGTTTTATCTTGAGTCAGTTGTGTTCTCATTCATCACTGCTTGATTGAATGTATAAAAACAGTAATGTAGAGGAGATTTATTGGATTTGAATGATAAAAAGCTAAATGTCACTTCATTGTCTTCAATATAATCCGTTCATGGTCATTTTTGTTGCTCGTCAACATTAGCGTTTATTTTTGTCCTGCTCTTCCTTGCTGTCAACACTTGAGCTGCCGGTTCTCTGGTTACGTCGATGTCTTTAACACACCCAGTGATGTGACTGAGCTCATTAGTGCAGCTAATTAATGTATTCATTAGCAAATATGTTTACGTCAACACGTTGTCACTAAACACATGGGCGGGTATTAGCAACGTTAGCTTGAAGCGATAAGGTGGCCGTAGTTTGAAATGGAGCATTGCATCATTAAGATGATAATGTATACAGCTAGACACTTTAAATACTATTCAGATGAGCGATTCTGTTGGGAGACATGTGGTGTGCAGTGAGGAGAATTTGTTTATTGTGTTGACTTGCTCACAAAAAGTGTGCCTACACAGTCCAATTATTCATCCTTCCCAAGTGTCTGAACACTCGCTGCAAACCACAGTTAGCCAAGGTCACGACAAATAGCTCGAGCTCCACAGACAATCCACCTGCTTATTAGGCCTAATTCAGACGGACGAGGGTGGCTCATTATGTACGCCTGTGTGTTTGCGTATGTGTGCGTTGGGGGAGAATGATGATATGAGAAAAGATTGAGAGTCAGAGTGCATGGTTTTGTCACTGTGCGAGTATTTATGTGCATCCATTATGTGGGACAGCTTGCCTGTGTGTATGTTACTGTAGGAAGAAGCGTCAAGGTCAGAACATTCCTGCCTTGCATCGCAGATTAACTGAGGACCACTGGGGAACTGCCTGTGTTTACACGGGATGGACAATAGATGCATAACTCAACCAGACATCATATCCCTGGTGTGCCTCCTTAAAATGTGGTTGACCTCAAAGAGCCTGTCTGGTCCTTGTCAGTTTGTCAATCTTACCTTGGTTTTAACAACCTTAGTGATTATGTTTACATCAAGAAACCGACTGCAGTAAGATCTGGTGTTAATTACGATACGATACGATACGATATTACTTTATTGTCAGATCAAGTCTGAAATTTGACTTGCGTCACAGCAGCTCCATGTCCAACATCAACAGACAAATATGCATACACAAATACATGAAACACAAACATTTTGATAATTAAACAGTTTGTCCTGAAGTCAAGATCAGTGTATTTTTTATTCATGTTTTAGTTTTCCTCCTGTCTAAGAACTAGGGTTGGACTGAGCAGATAAATAAAAATTGAGCATTCATTTATCCTTTTAGTAATAAAATATAGGGATGTAACGATACCAAAAACTCATGGTACGATAATATCGCGATAACAAGTCCACGGTACAGTATTTATTGCGATTTTGAATAATAAAGATTTTTTTTTTAAAAAGTGACAGTAACAGACTGGAACAAGAAAACCAGTGTTTTTGTACCTACTAGTACTATGGATTATGACGGATATTTTACGATCCTGTCTGTCAAAATGACGGACAGAGAAAAAGTCTAACGCCACCTCAGTGGGACAGAGAGATATGCTTTGGCCATGGGTGACAGCAGTGGGTCAAACTGTGCATTGTCTCTCCACCACTTCAAAAACAATACAGTTTTTGCCAAGAAGGTGAGGCTTATTGACAGGGCGAGATATAAATATACTGTTGGTACTTCTCAATGTCTCTAGTTATGTAAATGTAGCCCTGTAAATACGATGTCCTTTTGTGTTCTGTTGTTTTATGTTCATGTTGTAACCTACTTGCTGCCATGTTGGACAGGTCTCTCTTGAAAAAGAGATTGATGATCTCAATGGGACCACCTGGTTAAATAAAGGTTTAAAAAAAAAGTGTTTACAATTATTTTTTTAATTATTATTATTATTTTTTTTTTAAATCGCGGTAGATTATGTCAGTCTCACAACGGTATTGGGACGTTTATTTATCGCGATACCGCGATATTCGGTATATCGTTACATCCCTAAATAACATAATTCTCAACTTTTCATTCCAAGGCGTTGCAATGCTTGTCAATGTCACAAGTAGCCAAAGGAGTCAATCATACAGTATAAAGCATAAGGCAGGCTGATTTCTTCCCTATTTTGATGCCAGTAGATGGGGTATAGGAACAGAGGGTCTATGGTTTGATAGGGGCCTCAAGCTAGCTGTTTCCCTCTTCTTCCAGTCTTTATGCTAAGCTAAGCCAAGTGCATTCTTACTATTTCACTTACAGAACTGTGATGTTGATCTGTTTGTATAACACCCAGCAAGAAAGTGAATAGCCATATTTCCCAATATGTCTAACTGTTTCTTATAAGTGAAAGTCAGAATAAAAACTGACTTATAGTCCCTGGTCATATCATTCCATGGTTTTCTGCACTCAGCTCTAAATGACTAAACTGATCAAAGCCAATGGGTGAGCGATCATGCTGTGAATGTTTATTTTACTCAAAATTCATGTCCATGACTGATTAGCATTTAGAAAGTGATAAGCACACAGCAGAGTTAGGAGGACAAAAGTGCAGATGTAAGAGTGTTTGGCTGCAGCATAAAGCAGGAGCTGGCTCAGTGGCTGAGGGCTGTTTAGCAGCAGCAGAGCTACCGAGTGTGCATCATTGACTTACAAATAAATATCTGAGAACCGAGAGTACTGTCAGAGGTTTCCACATCAATCAAATATAATACCCCCATAAATAACTGCTTACATCAAAGCACAGTCTGACATTACTGAGCAGGCAGTCCTGGGCAGGCTGTGAATCTTTCACCATGGTGCTTGACTGACAGAGGATGGAAAAGGAGGAAAAGCAGGAGGAAAGAAAGAGAAAGGGGCATTGTTGAAGGCTGATGGGGATGAAGGAGGGGTGAGAGGAAGCTAGAATAAAATATGATGATGAATCTACGCATAAAATACATTACAAATAATACACCCCAAATCTTTACTTTCAACTTAGTCTTTGATAACTAAAACAACATCAATTCATATTTTTGTAATCTTGCATAATTTGTTTCATCCGTTTAAACTAAAGGAACATTCTAATTACTGAACTTCAGTTGAATCTAAAATAAATAAATAAATAAATAAATAAAGCAAAAATGTCTCTGATAGTGCTTCACTTTTTACTGGAAGAAATGTATATGAAAGAAGTTAAATTGCATTGTTGTAAACATTTGAGTCTTTACAAAAGCAATGCCAACAGTCATTCAGAATTTGGGTAAAATCTTGTATTTTGAATTTGAAAGAAATAAACTACTTTTGGAGCACGGTATGCATTTTTCTGAGACAGTTGATTTACTGAAAGTGTTAGTCTGACTTCATTTCTCAGATCTAAAAAGCTGATCTTCAATTTACACAGTTAATAAAAAGTTATTAAATAGATATAAACTCAGGTGTTGGAGACAAATATCTTTACCTGTAAATCAGTAGTGCATTATTTGGCCAAATGAATGCCTGTATTTCATAATACACAAAACTATGACCCTTTCAATGGGCTGCATTTCTATTGCACTGGAAACGACAGATAAAGTTCCCAACAGCTGAGATAATGGCTGTGATGATATGAGTTTAATTGTTTATAACTACATTATGTCCACTTAATAAACCTTCTAGATATTATGTGGGGAGTACAGATTCTGATCACAGCAATATTGTGAATGTGAGCTTATAGGACGTTTCACATTTTATCGGACAGATAATGTTTATGAAACCATCCTTGCAAGGTCTTTAGCCGGACTATGTAAGAGTGTGTAAAGAGGAGGCACATTTGTTTTGCCATCACAGATTCTATTATGAAACATCATGTCAAAGTAATCCTGGTGCTGCTTCAACACACCTCCAGAAAGTGAAAATGTAAAGGCTGTTCATGTTGTCAAAGAGCCCTTCACTGGTGAATTGCTATGAGTCCATAGCAATGAGCAGTTAATAAGAAATAGGTGTAGGGCAGACAGAGCTCAAAGCGCACTTCACTGCATCCAAGTGGTGTGAGTTGTGCATGTTTCTGAGTAAAACCATTTATTTCTGACATGAGACATTTACACTCACCATGTTGTCAACAGATTGCTCATATAAAGGAGTGTAAACTGATTTTTCTAATTATTTTCACAATTGTATTTATTGTTGTTATGGACCACCCATCCTTCAACTCCACACAGCATCAGTTGTTGTAAATACTTTGCTGTGGTGATAGAATAAAAACAGAACTGCATGTGGATGTTCTGACTGAGGTCAAAGTCACTACTGTTGAGCCAACACTGATACATTTCTCAGTGAATGCCTTTTTATTATTTGAGGATGTAAAATATGTGTAACTGTTGTCAATTTTGAGTGGCTAACATAACAAATATATGAACACATGGCAATACCTTGGAATATTATCTGTCGCAGATAAGCGTTCTCTTCATGGCCTCAACGATACAGAAACCATGGAGCTGAACAAAGTCCTAGGATACAATAAGAGGGAATAAGTGCTAAACCCTGTATGAGTGAAAACACTGAATGGTTTTGAGTACAAGTGGTGATTTACTACAGTACCTCACAAATGAAATAGTATACAAAATATATATCAGATAAAGAAGCACGCAGAGTACATTTGTACACATAAAACTAGATAAAAGCTTTCATAGAATTACACCAAACACTCCCAAGGCTGCAATTCTGTATGGATTATCAATGCTTTGCGATGTTGCTCTATTGATAAACCACGCCATATGGCAACGTCTCAACATCTGACTGAATCTGAAATCAACAAATAATCCACAAGTGTTTATAATAAAAGCACTTTAAATGTACCATCTGTTTCTTGGCAGGAGCTTTAGGCAGAAAAAACTCATTTACAAAAGGACACAAGGTCTGTACTTCATATCCGAATCTCCAGTAAAACTTGGCTTCTTTGCACACAAATGTGAGGGCTGAGAGTAGAACGGTGGAATAAAGAGACAGGCTATTCCAACACCAGTCGTAGGAGAGGGCCATTGTTGATAAAAAGCGAAATGTTCCAGTCATAAAGCAGCAGGTCTTCACAGCGGTGTGTGTGCTGGTTTCCCTTGAAGCAGATGTAGAGTCTGTACTTTAGCTTTGGTGCAGTGTGAGGCTGGATCGCTGCCACTCGGTTTTCCAGGTCAGCTGAGAGCTCACGAGAGCCCCCTGTGCAATCACATCCCGACCCCAAAGAATTGTCTGTATCTCTGAGTGAAAGCCTTCAGTGGGAGGATGCAGGGGGATTATTTCAACAAGGAATGCCACGGGGGACAAAGTCACCAGGCAATTTGTTACAATAAGCCATAACTATCCCGCCCCAAGGTGACAAGTAATTCCCTCTGAACTCATCCCTTTCACAGTCTGATCTGTTACTTCTGCTGCTGCAAACCAGGAACAAAAAACTGACGGATACACCTTTTGTTTCTCTCTAAATCAGTATACAACCCATCCTCGTTCTGCTGCATCTTCTCCCACTCCGAGTTCTGCTTTATGTTCTCTCCTTTTTTTGCAGTAACTACCGCAACTCCCTCGTGCTCATTCAGCCTTCCCATCTCTCCTTCTTATCGACCTGTTTCTTCAATCCTCCAGTGCCCTGATGTCCTGCTTTCCCTCCGCATCTCGCTTCATTTTGCAGCTCTTCTTCCCTACCTTTAGATGTATTAGCCTCCTTGGGTCATCTCTCCTCTGCAGATTGCTTTGGCTCAAAAGGCCTGTGCGCTCACTCTACTTAACTTTGGCTGGAAGGGCAGAAAAAAAGCCTTACGTGTCTAACTAGTACTTACAGATTACTGCCCCCTTTCATTTGCGGTCAAATGCATTCTCAGTGCTGTCTTAACATTTGCAAACCAAATTGGCTTCTGATAAACAATATCTCAACATCACACATTCTGAAAGCGTAGCCGCGACTTTGACACCTGTCGGTTTCATTGTGTTCTTGCTGTCAGGCACACACACACACTGCAGCTCTCGGCAAAGCAACACACCACTGAGCTGAGAGGCCACGCTGACCTGTCAGCTCAGTGAACACGCTGCTTCTCATCTAAATTAAAGCAATTTAAACACTCTCACTCTGGAAAAAATAGGCTAAACAGGAGTATTCAATAAGAGACTAAGTATACAACAAAGAATTGGGACAGCACCATTTTGTGTTTTAAAGGGAAGCATCAAATGTTGCAGTGGTAATTATCACAAAACTTTTTTTTATGCAGAAAATGTTATACATACTGCAGCTGTTAGCTTTCCTAAGGTGTAATAATAACATTAAGCACCTTTTTTTCAAGGGTAATTATAAACTTGACTTCTGTCCGATACTGGCAAAGCAACCAATGTTTAATGCGAGATAAAATAACTGTGCTTGATGTTGGATACATTTTGAGAACAATCACGATGGCCACTGTGTGAGCTGAGTTTAGTGGCCTTAATGCACTCTAAAACACAAGTCAACTGTCACTGGATTTCCATTTACGGCCTACAGCCATTGGAGCTGAATGCTGATCAAATGCTTAATGCGGTAATCAGATAATAATTGTTCGGTCAGGCCGTTAAACAAGTTAATTAAACACTGACTCCTCTCATCAGCAACAACGTTGGGGAGAATGGATCAAAGGTGGTGAGACAATGTTGTGACTTAGAAGCACTGACCCTTTACCATCACCTCTAACACACAGGGAGAAGGACAATATGGGGTATCCAACCTCATGTGGATGAGAACAGTGTGGGTGCATTGCATTGTGTGTGTTGTAACACTTGTGTCTTTATCTTCATGTGTGTTTTATATCTATAGTGTTATTGTATAGATTGTTGTCTTTTGCCCGTATACTGTATAACAAAAGTGGACTCAGTCAACGTGTCAACATTTCGAAAGCAAAGCAGAAGAACTCAATGGTTGCAAAAATAAGTCTGATTGTATAGAAGTCCATGAGTAGTTACACTACTTGTCAGTTGATACATTGCAATAGTAACAATTGTAAAACGTAGATGATGGCTTCAATCACTGGTTTCAAGTCTTCTTTAATGCAGCATGATGATCAATAAGTAAATGATGGTCCAATTTAAAATAAGCGCATAAACCAACGTATGCCTTAGGCTGAGGCTACTTAGTGATTGACAGTTGACACTACACAGCTTTTAAAAACTAAGATGGTGATGGTAAATTGCCAAACTTGATGCTTTAAAACAGTATTCCATAAACCAATTGTTGATATCATGAAGGCTACACCCACTTATTTTATAAAGTCCATGCTTAAGCCGCAAGGGCGCACACATGTTACACGGCTGGCCAACACACCAGCTTAGATCATCTCATTGAGTCACCCCAGTTAGCGTGTGTGAATCAGGAGAACATATGTTTCACTGCCTCTTCCTCTGCTACCTAACACTAAGCTGTATCCCTGACAGATCGTCCAGCTGCACTTAACATGACTACATCATTTAAAAACTGCACAACGACCCTGTGACGAAACCTTTTATCTTCAGGAATCATGCAAACGACTCGGTGTTGGAGTGGAACGGCGAAGACCCGGAGATGCAATTACCGTCTGTTTGCGAAAACCATTCCATGCATTTCATGATCTTCCTTGGAGCAAAAATTGATCCAGAAACCAAAAGATTTCCACCTGGAGGAAGAGCCAGCTATTCTAATCTACCAAAGGGTGCACAGATGGAAGAGATAATGGGGAAAATGTGACGGTTTATGACTCCTAGCTCCATTTACTGCACTAATGTGATGTACAGAGATGGACCAAAAACAATGATGTTAAGCTTGGCTATCTGACACCGAAGCACAAACACTAATATCACAGGTTCATGATTTCCTCCAGCCAAGCGAGACGAACTGGATACATTTACCGTGTCTCAATGATCTCGATTCTTTGATTGTGAATGATCTTGACATATATATCTGTATATTCCGGTGTAACTTAGTGTCTAGAAGTTTGTGTATTTCATTAAACCCTACCTCCAGGATAGATGCCTCTTACTCCATTTGTTCTGGGGGTTTATGTCTCGTTTCCTACGGCGCATTGTCCCCTCCGCCTCAGACACATCTGGCAGGGAACATCTGGGTGTTTTCATTAGACCCAGTGTGGCTTGGTCTGTTGAGGAGAGGAGAGGTAATTAAGGTACGGACTAATGGAGGAACGTTACATATACCTTATAAGAATATAAGGCAGCCCAATATAACTTTTCCTACTTCAGTTTTATTACGGGTAGTAACTTGTACACATGAATTCAACACATTGACACCGCAACATCTGTTGGCAAATGACTGCTTCAGGAGCTGTAACTCATACTCTGTGCGCTCATATGCATACATATGTGCATGGGCAGGAGGTTATGAGTGTCTGCTAGGGCCATCAATCATATATGATTTGCACGATACCCTCTCACATGCACAATCACACTCGCTCTCACAAAACTACTGTTGGGGCCATACATTATACTTGCTCACACACACACTGTCTTAAAATCATTCACACAGTATCAGGCTGTCAACCCTATACAGTCGTGTATGTGCGATGGAGTGTGTATGATAATATAGTCTATAGAAAATAAATTGCTATATGTGTGTGTGTGAGTTAGGCTGAGAGCATGTACTGTATGTGTGACGAATGATATGTGCAAGGGAATGGCGGAGGGTGTAGTAATCAATAATCTGTTATTCTGTTTTACAACACTATTATCAATCACATAGCATGCAGTGCTGTCATACTACAGTGTGTGTGACAGCAAGTATGATTTATGTTTATTCCGTGTGTTGAGGCGTGTGTAGACATATGTTCAATCAAATGGAATCCAATACAAAAAAGAGCTGAAGGTAATTTCATCTTTCTAATGTTCAATGGCGGTTGTGTCAAAATGATTGACTCAGCACTTTTCGTAGAGCCATTTCTTTGGTGTTTTTGTCACTTCAGTTGTAGGGTGTACCTTATGTTTTCTGTGAATGTGAAAGTCACTCTCTTACAGTTGACATCATTGTTCCCTTTCACTGCCATCGCACACACGTCCACATACCTAAGACTCCGGTCTCCTTCAGCCCTCCGTACTTCTGCATGGCTTTGATGGCATTGGTTAGGGCCTCCTTGGTCTGAAGCTGACCAGTCACTGGGTCAGGGGGCGGGAGATAGCCAAACTTACTCAGCCAGTCCTGGACGGGGAAGAGCAGACACAGAGTTCAAGAGTAATCCCAGGCATGTCAAGGGCTCCAAGTATCCAAGCTGCTGAGAAGAGACACCTGTTCATTTTTACTGTCTGTGGATACTGTTCATGTTTACCGTCTGCTGATAGTGTGTGTTCAGGCACATTTGTACATTCACGTTTTGCAAGTGCTTGATGTCTTAAGCAAGAGTGTGTTCACATATGTCCTTGAAATAACACGCACAGTAAGCACAATGTGAAAGCCTCATAACTTTTCGAACACACAGAACCATTCAAATATTTTTAATAGCAGGTATTTTAACATGTCATAAAGGGAAAAGGGAAATCACAGGTGCAACTAATAACATTTATAATGGCGGCATTTTGTTAACGTATTGTACATGTTGGCTCACTCCTTATGGCGTACTCTTACATTACTCCAACATTATTAGAAACACCTGCTGTTGGTCTGCTATTACACTGACATTGCTAAATTAATCATATAAGCATCAAGTAACATAAAACACAATATTTTAAATTTGACCAATTCAATATTCTGCATCAGGTATGAACTGCATTCTTAAGTTTAATCTGAGCTACAAGTTGTGTAAGGATTAGGAAAGATGAAGCAACTCGTGGTCAGAGTAGACATTTTTGAGTGTCATGTTAGTAGAAGCACAGGTGTTACTAATAACATTAACGATGGCTCTGTTCCATTTTAGTGTCCAAGGTAGATCATTAACTTAATCATTTGCACCTGTGCTTTTCCATCTGTGACATATCAAAATGTCTTCCATAAAACAACCCTGTTCTTTGGTTTCCTTAGCATTGAAACAAGTAGGCCATAACTCTTTTTGATGGACTTTGGTGCTTTTTTTCTATTTTATGTGATTGTTGTATATAATTACTCTACACGTATGTTAAGTTATGTTAAAAATAGGGTTTTGGAACAGTGGTTTAAGTGAAATAGTAACTTTTTTGGCTGCTAATATGATTTGGAATATTCAAGTTTTGTCAATTTGATATTTTAAATCTATCAGTTTCCTGAAAGATTTGCGCTTGACTCCATTGCTATAAATCCATTTGCTTTCTCTCTCTTGCAGTCTCTTGTCTTTTCTCCCTTTATAATTTGATGGTAAGCCTTTCTAAATGATTTCTGATCAGCTCTCATTACTGATGAGTGACACAGATTGATAGCAAGGCAGCGATTGACAGCACTGGGGCCATTTCATTAACTCAATAATTGACTTTGGGTCCTACAAAGCCATTTGTTGACAGTTGATATTGGACTCCTCATCGATTGCTTCTAAACAGAATACAGATGATCACTAGTGTCATCTGTGATAATGAGAAAGAAAAACCGTTTTTGAAGTTAAAATATGTAGAGAGAGCAGATTGGAAACATTTATGTCTGAATAACTATGTCTGAGTTAAGTTTGTAATGTCTTGATAAATGTCACGGAGACAGGCTCCTTTTCATTTACTAATAAAACTGAAGTAACTGTCTCTGTAATGATGTGCTTTAAGCCTCTGTGCTCACGCCAGGTGGTTGGAGCCTGGCATACATATAAAAGGTGGATGAGGGGAGGTTTATTATTGAGACATACTGAAAGTATATTATCTCAGAACTGGAAGGGTAAAAATAAATGGCTGCTTCTGAAACACATCAACGGCTGAGACTACAGTTGACATGTTGTGTATGAGTGGTCTGGGTCAAATGCATTGGGATTCAGGGGAGATTATGCTGAGCTGAAAGTTCTAGCAAAGCACTTTAAAGGTTCAAATGCCAGGCAAACCACCCACAGTGTCAGCAGTCTGAACATTTTGGCAGAATGTAAAAAAAGAAATAATGATATCATGCAGTATTGATCCCCATAGAGAGAGCTCATGCCAGAATGTAACTTCAGGAATGCTGGTTTAAAGAACAGGTTAGACTTGTACTTAGCTTTGTGATCTTCAAACGCTGAAGAAGACGGAGTTGAGGCATCAATCCAATTTACTAAAGGATATTTTCCGTTTTTGCAAGAAGTTTGTGCCTATGTTTTAGTTATGACTTATTGATCGCAGAGCTAAGTACGAGTCTAACCTCTTATCTCCTTTTTCTCTGGTCTCACAATATTGATTCCTGTGAAATGTTAACGTCGGTCTCTTACTCTCCACAGGGCCTTCACAGCACAGGGTCAGCTACAGAACAATCACCTCTGTCCGGCAGTGGCTCAGTCAGTAGGGGCTTGCACCCCGACCAGACCTAAATATGGAGTGTGGACTGCTACTTGGAGAGGTCCCAGTTTACCTCCTGCCCTGCCATAGTGCCCTTGTGCAAGGCACCGGACTACCCCCTTCCCCTCCCACTCCCATTGCTCCCCGGGCGCTGTACAATAGCTGCCCACTGCTCCTGGTACTAGACTCCTGGTACTAGGATGGGTTAAAAGCAGAGAACACATTTCACTGTGTGTGTGCTGTGTGCTCTGCATGTGTGACCATTAAAGAGGGTTTCATCCCCCCCTATTCTATCTGACGCTGCTATAGATTCAGCATCTTAATCAAGGAGAGGTTTGCCAACACTTGAACTCAACAAGGGAGATTTTGACATGTGGTTCAGAAGTCACCAGAAAACTGACTCTGCGCTTTTATGTTTCATGTGGAACCTACTTGAGCAGGTCTCCCTTGAAAAAGAGATCAATGATCTCAATGGGATTCACCTGGATAAATAAAAGTTTGAATAAACTGAGAGATATGTACAGTATACATAATGTAGAAATACATTATATCCTAAGCATTTAAACCACCGCAAGTGGCTTAATCCACAGATGAAGTCTGTAAAGTACAGCTAATTCTCTCTTCCTTGGAACAAAAGCGCCGTATGCATAAAACTGAAGGTCACATTGGATTACACTTAATCCTAAAAGAATAAGAGTAAAGAGCAACATGGATTGAAGAGATAGGAAACATCTCACTCTCATGCAGAGACAGAACATATATGATGAAGAAGTAAAGCCTCCCTGTGAGAGTTTATTCTCTCTCAGTCTGTGATTAACTGCAGCTAGAGGGGGCTGGCGCAGATGGCTGAGACTCCAGTCTTCTTTAATCATGCATTATTAAGACACACAGACGCAGGAAACCATGGCACAAAATGACGTCTGACACTCCACTATTCCCATATTGCTCTAACTGGCTTGAGAGGCAGAAAATATGCTCTGCCAAGCCTGCTGCCACTGTAACAAGCTCTTTTTTTCTGAACCATCACATCTTTGTACAGTTATCAGGCCTTTGTGTTTACGATGCCGTGCTGTGGTCAGCATAAAACTTTGTTAGAAATGTCTGGTCCAAGTTCTAAAGAACAGCTTATTGGACAAAGAAGAAACTGCTGGCTCAAGCACTTAATAGGTTATTGTGTAACACTTATTCAAAAGGCTACATGAGATTAATGTAGAGGTAAACGGGGAATAATTGTCTTTGACACATTATAATTTGGTACACGAAATGCGTAAACACTGCCCATTCTTACATTTAACCACTTTGTGTTATGTTGTTCCTGCTAAACTATGCAGAAAAAGCTAGGAAAACCAGTCATTATGTTTATATAAAATTGTCTCTATATCGAAAAACATTTGTTCAATGAATTACTAAACATACTTGGGAACCAACGTTTTTTCCAGACGTTAAAAGGTTACACTAAATGTCTACAGCCGTGCATACACTCTTTGGGACTGTATTTAGGCACACTGGTGTTTTGAGCTTAATGCTAACAACATCATGCTAAAATGCTAATGAAAACAATACTAATATCTTCCATATTTGGAACCAAGTTAGCCTAGCACGTTAGCAGGCCATTATATGTTGATTAGCACTAAACCTGAAGTAACTTTGAGACCGATGGAATTGTCATTGGTTTTGCAGGAATTTGGACATAACCAAAGAAATCCAAGAGTTTGAGAGGGGCATGAATGTGCGAACCAAATTGAATGCCAATGCACCAAATTGTAGTCAAGAAATGTTACTAAATAAATACCAACAATGTTCAATGCAGGAACCAGTGTGACCTTTATTCAACAAAGCGGGAAGGTAAGAGTCGAGTCGGAAAAGGCTGGCACTGAATCTTAAAAAGGTTGTCATTGAACATAATGTAGAGTTATGCAGAATAGTCCAACATCAACATTCTGTCAGGCAACGGTGTTGTTCACGAGAAAGTCGTACGTCATTCTGTGGTGTGTGTTTGTGTACACAAAGCAAGGTTGCTGTCAAGAATCCTAAACTTTGTTATCTATCTAAACTGTCAGGACTCTGTGCTGCTCAGAAAAGTGACTGTACAGTAAGTGTGAGTGAAAGTCAGAAGAACTGAACCCTGACACTCAGAGGAGACACACAACCGAGAGAAGAAGCTTGAGAAGATTTGGGTGGTAATGGAAAAGCATGGAAGATGGTGAGAGATGGAACAAGACCTCTGAAAACGAGTGCTTCTTGAGTTTTAAGATCTACGTATCCTCAAGGAAGCCTTCTGTTGTACCGCCTTGTATACATCTAAACCGAACCACTGACTTTGATTTCACACATCACATGAGAAACAGAGGGAGTGTGTTAATGTGAGTCAAGCATGAACTGCATGAGTAACATCGACCAAAGAAAAATAAAAAGATGAAAAAGCACAGATACACAGAAAGGCCTCCCATGATTGCTATCTGACCTTCTTAAAACACAAGGATGTCCTTTCAATGTGAGGTAGGCACAGTGGGTCATTGTTTGGCAGGTAGTTACATCTCCTGGTGTTTTAATACCAACTTTTACAGACAGTTGAATCAATAAAAAGGGGAGTTTTATGGGTAGAGTCGATCGCCAAACCGCTGTTTATAAGTTCCTTCAAGCTGCTTTTTTCCACTGTAAAAAGATGTTTCCGAATTCAAGCTGTGCGTAACTACTGTTGTACATAAAGGACGGAATACAGCCAACTTTTTAACTGCCACTTTTCAAGCCAACAAAGGGAGAGTATTTGTAATAAAATCACAAATGTAT